CTTAAAACGATTTCTTACTCATATGTTTATAAAGATAGCTGTAAGTAACCAAAGAGAACAACTTAAGAAATGATCTATGGGGTTCAAATATAAAAAGAAAGAGCCCATAAGTAAAAGTGCACCCTTTTTTTCAGTTAAAGGTTTTGGAATATTTAGGATTAAGTGTTTTTAAGTTTGAATAACACTAAGCTAGGTAACTTCCCAGGAAGTCCAAATTTAAGAGCTTACAATGGCATTGTTATCATTCTAGAGGAGCATAAATTGTTGTAGCGCATGTGATTATGGGATGAGATTTGGATATACTATCACTGTGAATCCTTGGAACCTTGGGGGATAAATGGGGATAAAATAGCCACTAAGGGCTCTCTCATCAAGCAATTGCCCCTTTTCCAATTGGCTTAAGGGGAAAGAAATAGGGTGTACAATATTTGGTATCAGGCACGGTTCGATTCCCATTGATTAGTGGTTACTTAAAAAATATAATATACCCTTGAGCAAAGTATATTCCTATCCCTAAATTTGAAATCGTATGTATTAGGTATCATTGTGATCATGGGATGAGATTTGGATATACTGTCACCGTGGATCCTTAAAACCATGGGGAATAAATAAAGTTCTCTCTCATTAAGCAATTGCCTTTTTCTCATTTGGATATACTGTCACCGTGGATCCTTAAAACCATGGGGAATAAATAAAGTTCTCTCTCATTAAGCAATTGCCCTTTTCTCAGTTGGTTTAAGGGGAGAGAGATAGGGTACATTACAATTGCCCATTAATAGCTATGGTTTTGAAAATATACATATAATGTGGAAAAACATGTTATATGCATTATTTGGACCCTCTACTATGTCACATGTAAATTTACCTTCTCCTTTTTGTACAAAAACTCCAAATGTTTTTGGTGTTTTAATGCACTAGATTAAACTTGCCATTGTACCCTAACACTAATCCTTGTACCAAAGTTAAAGCAAACTATGATATTCTAATCACTTTAGTTATAGTTTTTCATTCTATTCTCCATATCCCCCACTTTAACTTTGGAGTCACTAGATACACAATGCACTAGCTATATTCTAGTTCACAGCTCCTTCATCTACCCCTCAATGCAAAGTCTATTAACTCTAGGACTTATGACTTTACAATGCTAGAATGGAGTATAATGGTATGGACATTCATTTATGTACTTTCTTGCACAAAAAACTTAATATATCTATCATTTATTGTTCCTTAAATTTCAATGTAATAAAATCATAATTACCAAGTGAGTAGTTTCTCTATGGTTATCTTATGGTGGGTAAAGGGTGAAAACCATATGTGTTACATTATTGCTTTAGATATAGAACAAATGGATCTGGATATAGAATAAATATAGTACCAATTAGCATAAGTGTAATTTATATATGATCTCAATTAACAATACTCTTCAAAATAATGCTTCCAATTTCTTTTTAGTTTTGGATTTTATAAGTGCCTAAACTGATTGAAACACCTATATCTACTCAGAACCAAACCCTTGGAAACATATGCCAAAAATAACAGAGTAAAACTCAAATTTCAAAGCATTAAACCACTCAATGAAGGAATGAAACCACAAAACTCCTAAACAAACTAAAAGGTGGCTCTGTTTTATATGTTAGTTCTAACATTGGGATGTTAATATTCTAGGATTGTTCTAATGTTGCTCCATGCTCTTGCTTTTTTAAACATAATGTACACAAGACTAACAAACTCTCCAAACTCAAGATAGCATACTCTGGTTCCACACTTGAAACTCTATTGGAAGAAATCCAAACTTCCATTATTTTATTGGTAAGCTTGGTCTTCTTTCATACTTCACTTCCATATGTCAATACAATGACAGCTTCACTGTGATAATATTGTCATTCCAGTTAAATGTAGATCACTATACAAAGCATAGTAAGTATTTGTTGCTATCAAAACATATTTTTGGATCACTTTGCAGAACAAAGTATTTGTTGAGATTACTTTGTGTTACAACTTCTTTCATATGAAAATTACATGACTTTATTTAACTGATCTTCATGTCTGATTCTCGATTAACAAGTAATTGAAAACTACTTCTAGTGTATTTCTCCTCATCTTTATATTCGAGTTTGAGAAATAAAGGAAAAAAGTAAACCAAGTCATTTTGGGTTTAAATGTATATCTATATCGATGAAAAATATTTCCCATCCAGAAAACAAACCCAGGTGTTTAAACAACGGGAGTGTGGAAGGCCAATAGCGCGTGGCTATTGGCATTTCGTATTCTTCCCTCCATCGTTAAACCTGGGTTTTAGGGATTGTGATCCTCTTTCCCTTGCTATTTGGGAGCGATAGCTTTGCTTGCGATCGGTGTTGACGCCCGACGAAATCTCGCTGCCGTGGGCCTCCAGCATCCGGTTTTCCAGCTCGCAGCAGCGCCAAAGATGATGGCGCTAGTACCGGCGCACGATCACCTCAAATGGGAGGGGAGCCGGCATTTCACCACGACGCTAGCCGAGATAGGTGCGTTCCTTGATCCATCGCCTCCAGATTCGGGATTACCGCTCGTTTTTTCGTGCCAGGATCGTCGTGCGAGGAGATCAAGTTCAGTGGATGGGTGGAGAAGATCAACAGCAAAGGCTACGTCCAGCCGCGGGTGCTTGTCATCACGGATTTGGCCCTCTACAACTTCCGGGGAGGCTTTTTCACGCAGTGCAAGAGAAGGATCGATATGAGGGTCATCGATTCCATTGTCCGGAGCAAGTATAGCCAGCAGTTCATCCTATGCTGCCCAGAGGTGTGGGGTTTTCATTGCTAGCAAAAGATTGTATGAATCGTTTTCTTTCGTGTCTGTGGCAGGAATATGACTATCATTACTCGAGCTCTCGTGTGTCCGAGATTTGCGATACCCTCGTCGCTGTTTATCGAGTGGTGACTGGAAAAACACTGGCTGTGGATTTAAAGGTGACCGATCACTTGTTTTTGCTCAGCTGTCAAAACGTTGGAATCAGCAGACAAATAAGAACTTATTTCCTTACGTTGCGACAAGGAAAGACTCAAAGACAGGATTGAAGGTACCAGCCTCTGCCTGTTTGTCTTCGGCATGTCTTAAGTTTAGCTTCCAGTCTAAACGGTATGCCTTGTCATCGAGGAAGCTTGGTGAATGGGACACGGTAAGCAGTCTAGTCTTGGACTTGTCTCATCAAGGTTGCTGCTCCAGAGATTTAGCGTCGAACAGTCAGACGACTGGCAAGTGGAGCCAAGAAGTCGATCCGAAA